GTCTTTTTGAAGGAGAAGAACAAAAATGTGAACAATAAAATGACAAGAAATACATATCTATCAACAATTGCATCTACAAACAAAATGAGCAAGTGGAACAGAAACAGACTCATAGATATAGAGAACTTTTTGTTGCTTGCCAGATGAAAGGAGGCTGGGGAGATGGGTGAAAAAGATGAAGGAATTAAGAAGTGCAAATTGGTTGTTAGACTGATGAACATCAAAGGGAAGGGAGGAGGAAAGGCAGGATAAGATAAACCAAATAACTTCTATGCATATATGCATAACCAATGGACACAGACAATAGTGTCCATATTGATGGCCTGAAATTAAAACTTTCTAACTGAAAGAAGTTCATGATGGGTAGTCATGTCCTAGGCCAGTATCTTCCCTGACAAAGATCAATCTTTATCTTAACTGAACTTGTTTATTGTCTTTTGCATCTATGGTAACATATTTTTAGAATTTCAAAGTAATTTCCTCCCCACTCTCAGAGCACAACCACCTCACCAGAGCAGAGAACACAAATCCCCTCATTGTTACTGCTATCATGTTAATCATTAACTGTTTACCCTATACTCACAAATCTAAAAGTAGTATGTCGATTCGTTTTACTTTTTATCCAATTCCGGAGATTTCCCTGCTTTGCTTTCTCCTGCTTCCCTAATCTATCACCAATGGATTTCATGTACCACCTTATATATTCCCAATTAAATGTTCTAATTTAATTCTGATATATAAAATATGTGCTAAAACTGACACTTTCCAGATCATTTTCTCAATCCGTTGAGGTTTTGCTTCCTGGCAAGTTTGGCTCAAAAAAACTCATAAAAATTCTCTATAGGTTTGAACATTTCTTACATTGACAATATAAAGAGAAAGTGAATGTGAAAGCATTTAATAAAACTAAATTCCCTTCTATATATATAAATCAGGGCTATTAATGCAGATACAGAAAGGCAAGAGAATTAAAAATTATAGATGTAAACAGCTGATGATATTTTCCCATATTACAGAGGTTTTACTGACCCTTCCTCAAGAACCTTCCTCTTGCACACCTGAAGTTAAATTTTCAGTGTTTGTCGAGAAATGCATCATTTAAATTACATCTAAGTTATAAGAGAGAAAGGGGATTTTATCTGTGTAGCAATTAAAAGAAAAGGAAAGTATTCTAAGAGCCAGCAGATGAGTATTCAAGAGAGAACAAGAAACCAACCCATCATTTAGGGAGAAGTAAGGGATTTCTGTGACCAGTCACATGCCTCCCTGATGTGTGTGTGGTAGGGGATAGGACCAACCTTGTGATACCAGCAGACCACTTTGCTTTGTCTGGTGTTCTCCCAGGTGGAAACAAGCTTTTCCCAGGAGGAAATAAGCATCACTCAAAAGAAAAAGACTATTAAGGCACTTTGTATTTTAATGAAGCACCTAAACTCATTTTTTTTCACATAAAGTAATTATAAATTTTTCTGATTTAAAGTATGCAGCTCAATAATGTAATTGCCTAATAGTTATGCAGGTGCTGTGGACCTTATCTAGTCTCCAGGGGACATAATCTGAGTTTCAGAGCTTTAATGATGTATTTACTCAAGAGATGGACTGATTCCAGCTGACAGCAGGGGGACCCACAGGTAAACATCATTTACATGTGGCTGTTTAGTTAGCCATTTACCCAAGAGATCAAAATAAATATTTCTGAGTTTCATTGGACTCTTACTTAACCAAGTAATTGCTAGTAGGCCTTTCTTAAATTAAGAATCTTTTACTTTTTTAAGAATTTTATCTAGAGAGAAATATTTAACCAATATTACTTACTAAATGTATGTATTGTTTCAACACAGGGAAACAACTCAAAGATACTTGATTTTGCTAATCGTAAAAGGATGCTGCATAAACTAAAACAGTCCTAGAACCCACAGAAGCATTTTTGTCCTAAAGCTCTCAAGACTTACCCTGCCTATATAATTTTGGTGACATTGTTCATTGGTGCTGTGCCTTTCTTCAGTGAGAACCTAACCATTTTTGAAACTGCTTGCTTCCATTTTTAAGGAGAGATGTCATTAATGTATTAGTAATTTTTATGATTTCCACTAAGATAAGATCATGATGATTTAAAGGAACAAAGCAGAATATCATTTGATTCCTAAGTTATTAGTTGGGCAGCCCCATCTCATTAATAATGAAGTTATTTGAAAATTGTTAAGTGGATTGCTTGTCTAGAACTTGGAATATGTTTTCTAATATAAACAACACCCTTTAAAAAAAGGTTATATAACAAAAGGCATACAACCAATACTTATTTCACCCTTGACACAGCTGATGTGATGTACTTGCTATAAACAATGTTATTACAGAATGGTACTAAATAAAATAGGCAATGAAATTTGAAAACAAAATCCTTCTTATGATCTACATTTATCAACAGTTATGAAATGTAGAAAACACAGGTTCTAACTTATATGCATATAAACCAATGGACATAGACAAGAATACTGTGAGGGGGGAAGGGAATAGGGAGGAGGGTATCAATGGGGGGAAAAGGAGAAACATCTGTAACAAAAATTAATTAATTAATTAATTTAAAATATTCGGGGGGCGGGGGGGCACAGGTTCTGTTATTCCTAAAGAATATTGTTCGTTCTTAAAGAACATCACACAAATGGTATCATACCTCAACCAAAACAAAACTATATGTTACTTACTGAGTCACACATAATGCAATAAAATAAAAATGTGTGCAGAAAGGATATATACAAGATTATTTTTGTAAAGGAGTATGAGATCCTTGAGAGGCACACAGGGGCTGTCCCTATAGCTATAACAATTTATTACAGAAGAAAGAAAGGAAAGGAAGGAGGCTAGAGGAGAAAGAAAAGGAGGAGACAAGAAGGGGAGAGAGGACAGAGAGAGCAGAAGAGAGAGAAGGTGTAAAGGAAGTAAGAAAATGGGGGAGAGAAGGAAGATGAGGATAAGGAGGTCTGAAACAATTTAGTATGATGACAACAACACATGTGAATTTAGACTGGTGGGTACATTGTGGCACTCTGAGTATATATGTTTGATATACTTTTTTATAGTCCTCTATTCTCTCCTTTTTAATCCTCTCCAGAGGACATGCCTTCTATTGATTTTTAAAGAGGAAGGGGGGGAGAGGGAGGAACACTGACTGGCCGCTTCCTGTATGCTCTCTGACTAGGGATCAAATCCACAACCTAGGTACGTGCCCTGACTGAGAATCGAACCTCCAACCATCTGGTGCATGGGATAATGCTCCAACCAATGGAGCCACCTGGCCAGGGCCCTTCTACTGTCTTTTAATTTAAGAGACAAGAAAAGGGCAGGTGCTCTGAAAGACTTGAGGGGAGATGGCAGAGGCTCTGGACACACAGCAATACAGGTGTATGACTTCAAGACAGAGGTGGCATGGCTCCAAGAGGGGCACATGTAGAATCACTGAACTATGTGCATGATAAAAAAAAAAAGTTAAAAAGGATCAAAGGCAGAAAACCCTATATTAAGTATATGGATGAAAAACCATGCTTTGAAATAAGACAATTTCATGACATAAACTTAGGAGAAGGAAGACCTCATCTTTGACTATGGCTTTTCTAGGGAATGACAAAAACTACAGCGGGGATGCTGTAAATATGGGCTTCTGTTCCCTTGTGAATTTTCTCCACCAGTTTCCACTGTCTGTTCAGCATTTTCACACACTCCCTCTACACCAGCTTTTAAGTCCGGTCCCTTCTTGTCCTGTCTGAACTTTTGAAGGGCTCCCTCTTCCATGCTCTCAGTCCTAATGCAAGCAGGTAAAATACCCTAAAGCACTGCAGAGTCTTAATACAGTCCTGCTTAAAAAGTTCCTATGGCTTTCCAAAATCTAATAAACTAAACCAATAAGCTCTCTAGCCTGCACAACTGGGCCAGGGACTACCTTGGACTTTCTCACTATCCCCAGCCTGGAGCCCATAAGTCAGCCCCAGAGGATAACTCTGGCTCCATTTTCTGAATACATGTTGGCTTTCCTGGTCTGTTCTTTGGCTCATAACAGCTCTTCCCTTTTGCCCCCACCCTGTACTCATAGCCTCTCAAAATCCTGTTGGTCTTTTAAGGTCACCTCACGACCCCTCTTTTTTCTTCCATTGTAAAGTCTGCCTTCATTACTTCTCCAGATGGCTTGGCTCCCTTTTCTGAAGGCTCATATTCTTTGTCATTTTCTTATTACATGCATCCCACTACGTTGTTCCTCAGAAAAGGGCCACATTTTATTTATTTATTTCCTTCCAATGGATCTGGGCTGGTGCTATGTAGAGAAATTGATCAATACATATTTGCTGAATTGACATGAATGACCAACCATACAGTGTTTTTAGAGTATAGAGTGGAACAAGAACACCAGAATGCTACAAGATGCTTCTAAGCTCCTTGGAAAATGTTGTGATAGATGTGTTTAATTAGGCTACCTCTAAGACCTTCATTAACTTTATGTAAGGAGGTGAGATTCCTATACAAAACAATATGCAAAAGGCCTGTGATCAGAAAGTTAAAACAAATCACAACACCTCAGTTATTAGTTTTTTCAAATATGTTAAGAACATAATAGCCCTGGCCAGTATGGCTCAGCGGTTGAGCGTCAGCCTTCGGACCAGAGAGTCCTGGGTTCAGTTCCTGCTAGGGGCACATACCACAAAAAAATAAAAATAAAAAAATAATAGTCCTCAAATCATCACCTTGTACATCTTGAAACTTTAAAAAAATGACTAACCCCAGACGGTGTGGCTCAGTGGTTAAGTGTCGACCCATGCACCAAGAGGCTGCCAGTTCAATTCCTGGTCAGGGCACATGCCCAGGTTGTGGGCCCAATCCCCAGTGGGGGGCATGCAGGAGGCAGCCAATTGATGTTTTCTCTCATCAATGTTTCTATCTCTCTCTCCTTCTCCCTTCCTCTCCCTAACATCAATAAAGAAAATAATAATAATAATAACAATAAAATTACTAACCTTTTTCCTCTGGTCTACATTTTTGACTGGGAAAACTTCAGACAGTTTAGCTACCTCTTCTTTAATAGAATTATCATATTCTTTCAAAACAGCAACATGCTGATCCAAACGTGCCCCTAATAAGCCTGAGGCCGGTGCTTGTTCAGATCTATAAAATAGAAACAGAAGAAACATTAGAAACTTGTAAGATTGAGTTAGTTATGAAATCCCCACAATTTTAAAGGCCCATAATTAACTTAGTACCAGAAAAGCCAGGAACCTAATTTATTCCAGACTATGGAAAATTTTAGAGTCCAGGTAGATATATTTTTAATTTTTATTTGGTTATTATTTCATTGTTAGACGAGCATTCTCATCTTTGGCTGCAGAGTGGAACCCTCTGGGAAGTTCTGTAAAACCTAGGTGCCTGGTGCCACCCCATAGAGTCTAATAAAATAGGTATGGAGTGTGGCTTAGCCATAACAATTTTTTAAGACTTACAGAGTATTCTAATGTACAGCCATGATTTCAAATCATGGCATAGGTGTCTAGGCTCCTCTTACATGTAAATAACAATAAAATTAAAAACTTTGGATTTAGCCTTACGAAGGAAAGAAATTTTTCTACAAGCTACAACATGTATAAATCTTAAGGACATTATGCAAAGTGAAATAAGCTGGCCACAAAAAGACATTGTATGATTCCACTCACATAGGGTAGTCAAATTCATACAAAGAGAAAGGAGAATGGTGATTGCCAGGGGTTGGAGGGAGAAGAAATGGAGAGAGTTTAATGGCATGGATAGAGTTTCAGTTTTGTAAAATGAAAAAGTTCTGGAGGCTGGTTGCATAACAATGTAAATATACTTAACACTACTGAACTGTACAGTTAAAAATGGTTAAGATAGTAAATTTTATGTTATATGTGTTTTACCACAATTAAAAATATAAACAAAATAACCTTTGGAGGCTGGTAGGGCAATAATTTGTTATTTTGAAAATTGATAAGTAAAGAGATAGACTCACACATTTATCCTGTTTTTGTGGTTTAAAAAAAAAATGCATTTCAGAATTACCAAGTAGTTGATGGAGAAAGTTCTTCCAACTAATAAATGCAGAAGAAATGAATGAATTAAAAAAGTCATCACTTTGAAAGTCCAAATTAATGCATCTAGAAAATTATAATTTTGTGATTGAATAACAGTAAACATTATATTAGAAGCATCAGTCTGCCAATGATCAAATCTATGGATTAGTCTTAGCAGTACTAATGATGGGATGACCAGACATCAAGTGCTGCCTGAGGAAGTGTAATAAAAAGTACAAGCACCACTTGTGATGTCATCTTGCGAAAATAACTGGTTAGGAATATCATCATGCATCTAGATCGAACCACCAGTTTACAGATAATATTATTTGGACCCTGCTTCAAACAAAGTAAATCTAAAAAGAGTTTGGTTTTTTAATCCTCACCTGAGGACATTTTTCCATTTTTTATTCAGATAGAGCGGGAGAAAGAGAGAGAGAGAGAAACATCAACGTGAAAAGGACACATCAAGTGGCTGCCACTTGTATGACCCAACCAGGGCCGGGAACAAACTACAACAGGGGTACATACCGTTAGCGGAAACCAAACCTGGGTCTCTCTGGACCGCAGGCTGACACTCTAACCTCTGAGCCAAACCTGCCAGGGCTAAAAAGAGTTTTAGGAGATAATCAAGGGAAACTGATAAAGGCTAGGTATAAGATAAAGAAAATAATTTTGTTAAACAGTAATGTGTTAAATCCTTATATGTTAGGGATATAAGTATTTATGAGTGAAATATGTCATCTGTTTGAAACTACTCAAGAACGAAGGGTGGGTGAGGGAAAGATATTAAACAACACTAGCAAAATGTTGATAATTGGTAGATTTTGGTAATGGGTACATAGAACTTCATTAAACTGTTATATTTGCTTTTGTGAACATTTCAAAAATTTCAAAGTAAACATATTTTTTAAAGTGTACTAATGTCTAAGATTTACTTGGAAATGCATAAAAATAAGAAATTGAGATTGATGAATAGTGGATGGAGAGCCTAAATAAATAGACTAATAAAATGTCAAAAGTAGAAACTGGATGGTGGGTATATGGATGCTTACTGTAATGCTTTTACTTTTCTGTACGTTTGAAAAATTTCATAAGGGAGGGGAGTAAGTTTAGGTAAAATTCAGAACCTTCTATAATAAATCTTAATTGTTATAACCTTTGCCTGACCTACTAACCCTAGTTTCCCCCAAGACTTGAAGTGTCATGTATCACTGGAATCTTGAGATTATTTAAAAATTTCCCAATATAATTCTAAGGTTTCTAACTGGTTTGGCAGAAGCCCCTTCAGCAACTTGCTTCTCTTGGTTCTGGCCAGACCTCACAGATGTCATAATGCCACCCAATTCCTTTGTTCTGATTTTATGCAAATGAATGTATTTTTGCATCTGTATTTTGTTTCACAATAGATTTCCCTACTGGGAAAATGCACTCACAGGCCACCAGCAAATTTTAGTCCATTCAGCAGGTACATTTCTTATAATGAATAAATCAACTGTGTTTCTGGACAAAAGCATGTTTAGTTAGGTTGAATTAAACTTGAAAACAAGTTGAATTAGGGTAAATCAAATTAAAGTACCTGGGATGGGTTATCAGAGACCAGCCTGTCTGGTGACTATGTACATAATTACATAATTTCTACTGAGGCAAGAAAGCCAAGGCAAGACTCTGGTTACTAATAACCCTGACAACTAACTGTGATTTGGGTCCTGGTGTGAAAAAACTAGCTAAGATTTCCTAAAATTACTATACAGACTTCACAAAAAGACAAAACCCATTAATTGACTTGCAAGGGGTCTAACAGCAAATAAGCTATTGAAGGAGGTACAGCATCTAGAATTTGTGACGTCTGAGCAGCTAAGCCAACACTTAAAGCATAAAACCAGGCTTTCTTACAGATTTATTTCAGGACAGATTGGGCAAGGAGTGCAAGAGCCATGGCTGTCCTTACGTGGAGTCTTGCCCATGGTTCTACATAAACACACCAAATCGGAAAATGTATAAAGTGGCCCTGCCGGGTTTGGCTCAGCAGTTGGAGCATTGGCCTGCAGACCAGAGACTCCCGGGTTCGGTTCCCACTAGGGGCACGTACCAAAAAGATAAATAAATAAAGTGGTACAAAGGATTTAAAGGAGATTTTTTCTCTTTTGTCTACTTTCACAGGAAAATTTATAATGACTCACAGAAAAAACAAAGTTTGATGTCAGCTAAGTTATATACCCTCTAATTAAAAATCAAATAAAAGACTGGCCTTTAAATAGTCTACAATTAATTCCATATGCTTGGAATGGCTTCCAATCAGAAAAATGCAATTTAAATGAGTATACCAGAATTTCCTAACTGCAACTGATTTACAAAAGATTGGTAATTTGACCAAAGTTTTAAATGTCTACAAAATAATAAATATAATAAATTTTATTTTGAACATAAGCAGAATAAAATAAAGAGGTTTTTACATACTCTACTCCAAACAATAAAAAGCTGACTCAATTTTTCACCGTGAATTTGACAGAACAATGGGGCAATTGTATCTGAAAGTAGCCACTAACAGGGACAATTAGTTGCACCTGGGGGAAAAAAGGTACTCTCATTAGGGTTTTGAAATAAGATAAAACTACTTATTAAGTAATTATTTAAATATTAAAGTGTTTTCCAGAAGGCAACAAACAAAATTTTTTATCAGTTACCCCAGATTACATGAATCATAAAATGACTTGGTCCTTGTTTGGGCCTGGGCCTATTATTGACAGAGGCTGTGGTTTGGACATGACCCAGGACTGGCTGCGTAGGTGCAGACCCTGTTTTCTTACATAAGCATGACACAGCAAAAGCCTAGGACGCATGCGCCATGCACTACCCCGTGTAGATCATCCTGTTGCACAAGTCTATAAAAGCTGTTAGAAGTAAGAAAGCTGCTGTTGTGGCAGCTAGTGCTGCTGTCTGTTCCCTCCTGATGTCGCGAGCTTTCTTTACCCTGGGTATCTCACTGCAAAACCTCCTCTGCAACCTCGATCTTTGACAGTCCTCCACCTAATAAGAGTAAACTTTTTATATCAACATCTTTGAACACTTAAATCTTGATATAAGAAAAATCAACAATGATGATGATGGGGGAAGGGCACGTAATAAGAACAGAACTACAGTTGTTTGATGATTATTCACCTTACTAACTATAAATATGAGGTTTTCTTAAAAACCCTTGGAAACTAGAGGATGTGCTGCAATAAGAGAAACAGGGCTTGTCACAGACTGGGAGTTTCAAGGGAGGTTTCTGTGGTGAGATACCCAAGGAAAAGAAAGCATGCAGAGCCGGGGGGTGAGAGGGGGGATCAACAAACCACAGCAGCTTTATTCAATACAGCTAGTGGCTTTTATAGACTCGAGTACAGGATACTTGGCCCAGGGCAGTGCACAAGACAGGGACAGTGCACAAGAGAGTGCGTGGTGCGTGCGTCCTAAGCTTTTGCAGTATTATGCGTATATAATGGTAACGTGGTCTGCACCTGCACAGCCAGTTCCGGGGTCATGTCCTGAATCACAGCCTCTATCAACTACAGGCCAGGTTCCCACACCCCAACAGGGTTTTAAAAAGATAAGATGCCTCAGAGCCCAGATGGGTCCATTACTCAGGAAAGAAAATACATTTTAAAAGCAGATCAAGGACAGGACACACTTTGATTTGGTTGCTGTGCCTGAACTCTGACCGCTTCCGAGAGTTTGCCTAGGAATGCTGACCATTCTCTGGTCCCAGGAATGGGCTGAGCTGTTTGTAATATCATAGAAGTTTAGCCACTCTGTTATCAGACTTTAAGCTCCTGAAGGCCATACTGCAGATCCTCCCCTCCCCTTTCCCTGTTATACTTACAGCTCACAACTGCACATAGTTATCTTCTTCCTCACTCATATATAATCAGTCAGTTGGCAGAAAAAGGCAAGCAGAATTTCCAGGATGACCTACTGCTCTCCCATACTGCAGGCATTATTGGAATGAATGCTCATATATGATTCAACCCCATCTCTGCTTAATTTGGCTGAAGTAGTGCCAGGCAGTCTCGGACCTGTTTAGTGTCCGGTATCAATGATAGGAATTTTTTTTCTTTTTTCTTTTAAGTTGCTTTATTTTGTAAGTAGGAATTCAGAAGTCTTCACACCGTCTTTTAGCATAGGCTATGGGGCAGATGTTCCATTTTACAGAGGAGATTAAAGTAAAGAGACAGCTATCCACTGCCATGGTTTGGTCAGGGGCACAAGTAGGGCTGCTGCCACATCAATCACGGCTCTTTTCAACAGGCTTTTATAAATTTATGACCTGTCAGAGCCTTCCCACTCTGCTTAGCTTAGAATTCTCTAACATGAGAGTCATTAACAATTAAGGAACAAAAGTAGACCATTCTTTCCAAATCTGTGTTTCTGGTATCATTTATAAAATTGACCAGTGAAATGCTTTGGTCCAGGGGAGACTGCAAAAGAGATAGGAATATTTCACTTAGGGGAGAGCCCAACAGTAACTCCTGGGGCTTGAGGGGTGCAGGATGTGCCTAGATGAAGAACAAGGGTGAGCCTGATGCCATGATTAAAACCTGTTAGAAAGAATCTGTATTTAAAGACTTAATTGCTCATCTCTCAGAGGCCATATAAACACTTGGTACTTTTTCCAAGGCTAGAGAATAAATCAGTGATAATCAGTGAGCATTAATCAGCACCCCCAATCACACACAGGACAATTTTAGTTTTAACAGAACAAAACAATGACAATAGTAACCATTCCTGGTTTCTTTATCTGGCTTTAAAAATAATTGTGGTATAGAAACCATTTTGAAAACTACAGATATTAATTTTAAAATTTGTGTTGGTCATAAACAAGGATTATTTCTTACCGCAGGCTGATATATACATAACTGTAGATCAATAGTAATATAAAATGCATCCTTTCATAATGGAAATCAATGCTCTATTATATATGTTGAGAAACTATAACAAACGTTAGTCTAGTCGATGTATATATCATATCTTATCACCCACAATCACAGTTTGGCAGCCTAGATTAAGAGAGTCACATAATGAATCATTTAGTCTAACAAGTCAGTTTGCACAGAGAATTATAAATGCATATATGCTTTCGATGCCATATATCATAACTGTGGTTTATGTGAAATAGTATAGCAACAGATAAAAAGCAGTGAGAAAGAAACAGGGGCCTGGTTAAAGAGTTTTACAACACAAAAACAGAGTGCAGAGACTCCTTCCCAGCCAGCTTCTTTCACCACCTTATAAAGGAGAATTTTTATTTCACATGATAAAAAACATAAAAGATAATTTTCTTGCATGGCCCTTTACTGCTTTAGATTGAAAAGTACTGACCAGGAAGGTCCAGTATTTTTCATAGTTTGGAGACTGTAAGTACAGATGCAGAAGGTACTATAAACACATTCAGGACTTGCTAACCTCATCTTGTAGTCTGTGAAACAGAACCAAATAATTGGCCAAGTTTTTTCATAACAAGGTCCTTTCAGAGACCATTATCTGACTTCTTCTTACTCCTTGATGAGATCCAACAGAAAAAGACTTATGCTGAATTCCACTCTAAAGAAAATCATGTTATCCTTCCTATTTATATCATTAACATGAAACACTCTATGTGGCACATTAAAGGTAGAGAAAATGGCATTGGATGCTAAGATAACTAAAACCAAAGCCCCTGTCACTCTCTCAGCCATAAAAGGTCCTTTCAGATGGGCTTTCACATACACTCATCTGCTGACCATGCTTGAGCAACAATTTGTTCTTTACTAGTAAATGGTAAGAATGTACTCTAATAAGGGAAATATATTCGGTCCCCAAAATAAAAATCAGGGTTAGGACACTGGTAACATTCGTGAAACATGAATTAGGCACCTACCAGGTGCCAGCAGTGAACAAACCATTATACATATTACACATTTATATGAACTCAATAAGTACCCCAGATGCCACAAAGTTTCTGAGGACAGAAAAGGAAACCCACACAGCCTAAAAGATGGATTGGGGGTATGAAACAGATTTCTGATTGTCTTAGGAAGGATATACAAGAATCATGATTCACATGTGCCACTACCCTGTAGACAATTAAACTTCTCTTTTGTTGCAGCCTTATGGCCATTTAAGGTACATACTCAGAGTGGTATTAGAGTTCCCTTGAGAGCTCATTAAAACTCAGATGGCTGGGTCCCACCCCCAGATTCCTAATTCAGTGGACCCTAGGTTGGGCCTGAGAAGGTGTGTTTCTGTTCCCAAGTGTTATTGATGCTGCTGGTGTAGGTACCATACTTGTAGATTGTAGACCTGTATCTTCTACTAGATTGGGAGCCTGTATCACTAGCATGACCTTGAAAATTCAGGAACCCATCTGGGGTCTGGACCTGCCAAGGACATCTAACTAAGCGGTGGCTATACTGGGTTATATGTTGGGTTGTTCTTCAAGGTATGCTAATACAACATACCCAACAAAGGCTATCCATGCTCTCCCCTGCCAAGTAAGCCCTTAAAACATTACGATAAGCAGGGACTGAATGTTAACAATTAGAAACAAATACATTTACAAAGAAGCAGATGGTGAAGTTCATAAAACAGTTTAACTGAGGACTACAAGTGTCTACCTCCATGCTAATTGTGTGAACCAGTGTTTTACAATTCCACACCCTTTTCCTGGAAGCCTCTGGGAACCTTAATGGCCAGCCTACCACAGCAGTAGTTTCAGGAGAGTAATACCTGTCTTGCTTTTCATTGCTGCCACCTCCAGGTGAGAGTCTGAGAAGCTGGTGAAGGGCAGCTGCTCCATAGCCTTCAAGGTCTTCTTTCAGAATGCCACTGTGATTATAGAGCCTATAAAATAAAACAGGTGCTGCATGAGATGTTTATTTAAGCACAGACAGTCAGCTTCTAGAATCTATGGTGATTCTTCATGGTTTATTGAAGTATATCTGTAATATAATCTAGACATAAAAATGCAGCAACTAGACTGTCTCTCAACAAAGATGTATAACAGGGCAGTTTGAAAAACTTGTTTGTGTGTATGTGGCAGTTTTAAATCTGTCAGGAAGTAAATTTTAACCCTTTGAAGACTTCAAATCCACTGCTGTGCAATCTTACTCCACATTCCACCTGACTGATAGGAATTCTAGATAATCTTAACAGCAGAAAAGTCTAATTTTATAATGTCAATCATAACAAAGTTAGATCTCCACAACTCATAAAATTTACTTAAAATGTCACTGCTAAGAAATTGAAAACTGCTGGCTGAAGTATAAGGTTACGTCTTCTATTTCTGAATGCAGAAAAAATGACTATTATTTTTTCATTTAGATCCCACTGAAATAAAATTTTCTTTATTCTCAGTAAGAACAGGAAGGCATGGAAAGAGGGACTTAGCCTTCATTATCTATTTCCAGTCTCCTGAGGGACTTGTAGAGTCTAACAATTCAGCCACTGTTTTTAGCTTAAGTTCGTCACGGTATTATAGTAGCCTCCAAACAGATTGGTAATAATTTTCTTTTTAAAAAGTCTATTTGGGGAGAAAATGGTTCTAAAAAGCAATAGGAGAAGATATTAAAGACAAAAAGAGTATTTTATGTTTGTTTGTTTTTTTTAATCCTCATCTGAGGACATTTTTCCATTTTTTGTACAGACAGAGTGGGAGGGAGAGAGAGGAAGAGAGAGAGAGGGAAACATCGATGTGAAAGGGCCACATCGAGTGGCTGCCACCCGCACGACCAACCAGGGCCTGGGACAAACTGCAACCGAGGTACATGCCCTTAGCGGGAACCGAACCCGGGTCTCTCCGGACCGCAGGCAGACGCTCTAACCGCTGAGCCAAACCAGCCAGGGCAGTATTTTATGTTTTTAAGGAGTTGATCACACACATAGTTGGAAATATTCAATATCCCCAAAAGAAAATGAAACAACTTATAAAACAATATGGTCATGTAACTGGTATCACAAGGATGAAAGAGACATGCTCTGTCCATCTATTGAAGGCCACCCTCATTCTGAACCAAACTTTTATCCTGGGCGGGAAATACAAGTGGGCCCCATGGATTCAGGCCCTGTTCTGGACTTTGAGCTACCATGTGAGTGCTCCAACTCCTTGCCAAGTCCTAAGTTCTTATTTAAACTCTAAGCTGGGGTTCTCAGTACCTGTAGGCCTGGCCCTGTGTTGGGTTATTCCTTCACTCTGAGCTCTGCTGTCCTGAACCTTCCAGACTTCTGGCCTATGTGACTTATGGTACCTGTGAATACCTTTTTTCTTAACCAAAATCTGGGGCCTAATTATTTCTGGAAGTCTTTTTCTTGTCACCACCTAATTCACAGAGTAACAGCCTGCCCTTAAGGTGAGCCAATTTCAGAGCAGTAAAGGAGAGCATGTAATCAATGAGAAGGCAATAAGGAATTGTGAGAGTAGAGAGACAGAGCTCCCTGGCTTCACAGGAGCTTGACAAGGAGGAGGATATTTTGGCAGGCAGCATTTAGATAGAAGAGGAGATAATTCAAGCTTAGGAGTGGCACAGGCAAAGGTGACAGGAAATACCAGAGGAAGATGGAAATGCCAAGGGAAGAAGGAGACAAGTCTGGCCAGGTGGGGGATGTGGTTGATGGTGATAAGATAGTAATGGGAAATACAATTCGATATGAAACTCTGGTAAGAAAACAGGGGTAAGGCGTGTAGATTTCTGAGCCATGGCTGTCTTCCTGAAAGCAATGGTTTTGAGAGGATGAGCTGTGTGTGGATGGAGTTGTTGAGTAGAGAGGTCTGAGGCGCCGATGAATAAATACCAGCCAGGAAACTGACCTGGTGCTCTAGATGTCAGGGAAGATGTAAATGTAAGAGCAGTGGTGAGGTGGCAGAGAAAGAGAAACAGGTACAGTAAAACCTTAATATAATGGATTAATTCTGTTATATAATAAATATGTAGGTTTTCCAAATGAGTATGTTAAAAAATAGACAAATTAGTTTACCTGTTTTTATTTATGTAGACATGTTTGTGTAATTAAAATTAAGTATGTATGAAAAGTTTAATTTCACAAAAAGTTTCTACATGTATTACAATAATTTTAAATTTACACTGAATAGGTCTAGTAAATGTGTGCACTCAGTAGTCACTGCCAGTAAACAAATGCACATGGCTAGGGCGTGGCTTAGTGTGTGTGGGCTAACCATTCACAAAAATTGTTTACAAGGGGTCACTCTTGGATTTAAATATGTAGACTATAGTTGTAGATATGTATTTATGTTGGTGAAATTACTACAGTGTTTTTCCCAACATATGACCTACTCACTAAAATTTATTAAAAATAAGTGAATTAATAACAAAAATAACCTGTTAATTTAATTATAAGCAAGTCTTGGTTAAAAGCATTTTGAAAGTAACAGGGTATTCATTTTCACATATGACATACAGACCAGAAATTTTGTCCATTAAATCCTAAGTCCGTTAAATTGAGTTCAGAAAAATCGAGGGTTTAGTGTATTCAAGGCACAGCAGCCAGAGAGGAGTCAAGTGCCCATGGCTGGTAGGATGGAGTTGCAGAAAGCTGGGGTACATGCCTCTCACCCTGGGCTCCCACTGTGTGTGTCAATGATAACTAGATCTTCCTAGTTTCCAAGAGAAGCTAGAAATTCATAATCATAAATTTTACCTTTATATGATATCTCTCAAATATTAAAATATAACAATTAATTCAAAAGAAGGTTAAATACTGTCCTGGAAATACAATGCCCATCTGCAGGCTTGGGTCTCCAGCTTAGACTGTCTTTAGTCTCATTTCCTGAGCAAGGCCATGGTTTGATGTTTCTTGCCTTCTCTAGAACACTAGTGCAACAGTGGAACTTAGTAGACATGAATACTGGTATACCAAGGTGAGGTGGGAAGGGGTGCTGCAGTGAGAGCCGCCTCCCTCCAGGAAAGACTAGTTTCTCTCTGCCATCCTTAGGAATGATGGTATGCGAAAACAGACTGAGTTTTAGTGGTTGTTTATAAATTATCTACAGACAATATACCCCTTGTGGCTTGCATTCCCCCATCCCCAACACTACCATGATATGCTAGCACTCAGTAACACTTGATAGTCCAGTCAGGACTAATGCCAGATGACCTTTGTTCTTGATCAATCTGATCAATCCAAATGTGAGGCTTAGCCTAGCTCATCTCACAGTTGTCTAGGAGCTTCTCTGATTATCTCATTAAAAAGATGTTTCCTATCCCTGAATTCCTTTAGGACAATCAGACAACACCCTACACAGTACTGTTCTCTGGTTATGTCATGCCTACCTAGTCTTCTCAACAAAACCAAAAGCTAGTTTAGAATAGCAACTATTCTAAATAACCCTCTAAAAATTCTCTGAGGGCTACAGAAAATAAATTTTTCTTTAACTCTACCATATAATTTGTACACATTCCTGTGTGTGTTACCTTTTGGGGGGACTTAGAATTTATATATTTCAATTACAGCACTACAGGCTGGACTTTCATGTTTTATTTTCTCTGGGGGACAAGAGTCTCAAAATGGTGCGGTAATAACTGACCATAAATAGTAATGTGTTTGCTTATGTAAGTTACATAATATAATGTTACTTTTAAAAAGTTTTATAAAATATGTTTACTATATTTTTAATGAACAAAGTTTTAGGGGACAAAATGTATTTCAAAATGAGCAACAACCAAAAGGCATCTTTGCAGAGGTGGTCCATAAGATATGAGTGTGTTATTTAGGATAAACCCACACACAGAAAGGTGGGAGAGAGACAAAGCAACCCTCCTTTGTTTCCAATTCCAATGGGAAAACACCAGAAACTCCACTTCTTCCTCCTCCTGGTTTGATCCTACTTCCCTTGGAACACACAAGAAGGCTTTGATCTTTAAACTAACAACACATGGTCTGTACAGAAAAGTTTATTTTTAAATTATCACTTTATCAAGTACTAGTTCTGATTTTTTACATTTAGTGCTCAAGGAAATCTGTTTGATTACAAGGAACAAGATTTAAAATCCTTTTAAGACCCTACTTCCTAAATTTAAGATGAAGTAACAGAATGCATTCATTTACAAAAAACCTCAAGTTCTACAAAATATAACTAAGGAACCAAAGGGTACTGTTGTCAGTCAAAACCGAGATTGTAATTCAATCTGTGTAATTTACTGCTCAGCCTGAAGCAATTTAGCACCTTCCACCAATAAGAGAAAACCTTCAGTGACCTCCCACACACAGGTACACAAATACAACTGAGAAGCAGAGAGATCCCTAGAAGCTATACCACTATAAAGATGCAAATTAAGGTTTAAACAGTATAACAATTGGCTGGAGCTAATCCTTTTACAGAGGTGTAAAATGGCTATTGAGAACTGAATTTCTGGCTGCTAGCTTTTTTTAAGGAACACTACAAATGTTATCCAAGAGCAATGCCAAGCAACAAACTCTAGAGCTGTTAATAGTTTCATAAAGCCAGTGCAATTTGTTTGCTTTGATATCAAATTCCTCACCATAAATTCAAATGTGTAAATATAAACCACATCAAGAATTAGTGCCCTGGGAAAATAAACTGGAAGCAACTATCTCAAACCTGACACCCGATGGCTGGAACAGTTGTATGTGCAGACACAGTGAAGTTTGTATACGGGGTTTTGTTTACCACACAAAATAGTTGTACAAAGGACAAATACATACATAAATAGTATTTTTCTTTTAATGGGCAGTCTTAGGAAACCTATGTTTTGGTGGCTACTTTAGTTCCCATTGTGCAGCTCCTTGGGTGGTCCCTTACAGGGGGCCACTTGAAGGAAGCACAATGCCAAAAAGAAGGGAAGGACTGGACCTAGACACAAAGGCCA